GAATGAATTCGTTTCACTCTGCTGAGATTCAATAATGAGCTCATCTGTTGTATCTATGATAGCGTTTGTTTTCGTTTTCCAATGTTCCAGCTAATTCAGTAAGGAAATTAAATTTCCTTGCCTTCACTTAGCTCGCTTAAACGAGCAAGATATTAATTGGTGATTGGCGAAATTTTTTAGACGTTTTTCTGTAAGTTCTCTTGCTCCTGTGCAGAGCTAGAAAACAAACATTGGAAGTTGTAGATACGGGTACATTAAGTAGCATCTCCAAAGTTGAAACAATGCAATTTTTCATAAAAAACATTTCATATAAGCTAGAGCCACCAAATGTGGCATCCAGACTTCTGTATACTCACACTGTTACAAGTGTATTTCAAAAATGAGCCACACCCCCTTCCGCCCTCGCAAAAGGGCGAAAAGGGGATCATTATTATAGCCAGAATAAAGAAATTCATTTCCAGTGGCTAAACCCACCCTGTCCCGCAGCTTTTGTTGTTCTTTTCACATTCTCTCATTCAAACTCTGCTTCTGCTTCACTCGGCCCCTGCCTCTGCCGTCCCTCTGCCTTTGCCTCTGCCGACTTTTAACCCACCCCGTCCAGCAGCTTATATTTGTTTTTTTTTTGTGTGCGGGCGCCTCTGCCTCTGCCGTCTGAGTCTGCAGTGTGTGGGTCTAGGGAAGGGCGGGAAGCTTAAGGAGCGTGTTGGTGTGAGAAGTGTTGTATATGTAGATGACAGATGAAGACAAAATTTTAAATTTGACAAAACACCGCTAAGGTGCAGATGTAGTACTGAGTGCCGGGTATAAAAGTTGTGACGCGTAAGAAGCGTCTCACACGTCCCTTCTCGTTTTTCATATTTCTCCAAAGGATTTAGTTGAGTCAAAACCATTATAGCCTATTGTTGTAAGAAAGCGATGGATAGGTATTCGGCAGTACCTGAAATCAGCGATGACAAATGTCAACTACACCTAAATAAGGATTTTCTCTGACGCTGGGGCAGCTAAGTAGAATACGAGACCAACACGTCGGCGAAACCAAACCTTCTTTTTTTCGTTTTCATTTTCGTTTCCTCGCGGTGGATAGCATATTTCGGGTTTGTCGTCGGCGCCGACGACGTAATTACAATTGTGCAGTGAAGACTGAGCTGCTGATTTCGGTTAAATTATATAAGTACTTTAATAATGCATTATTATTAGGTGAGTTTTAGGTAGATCAAATTAAAATTAATTAAATACAAATTGTATCTTAATTACCAAAGCAACTTTTAATGAGGGATGGGGCTTGAATGGTTTAATGAGTTCTTTTTTTTATGGAATAACTTTTCTTTAAAGAGTTTTTAAAATCTGGTAATTTTTTGTACGATTATTTTAGAGCGCTTCATTTTTTCACATAACTTAAGTATCTTAGATGTGGTTCTAATGAACTTAGTCATTCTGCAAAGCTGATGAAAGCATCCATAATGTACATGCCCAAACACTTTGTGGCATTAGCTTACCGTTTGAAAAATATCTATATGCAAAAATTGTGATTTTTGTGAGTTATTTTTTAAGAAATAAATTCTTTTAAAACTCAGGAAAAGTGAAAAAAAAAGTATATATTGTGTCCTCTTTTTTGTATAGGTGCATTAATTCGACTTCGTTTAAGGTATTGCTCATTAAAATCTATGCAGCGATGGCTGAGCTAATATTGTTCAACCAAACCTAAACATTTATGTTTCCGTTAAATACCAACAAATGTTAGTTTTTTTTAAATTTTTAATACCGCCAACATGTACTTTTGTTGGAATTTTTAAATTTTTTCAGAGTGTTCATTGTATGGGTGCCGAGCCCTGCTATGTTAGGAAAAATTCTCGTTATTGAGACAATTTATCACGATTTTCGACGATACTTTTTTGGTTACCAAAATGTTGAAAGTTTGAAGTTAGCCAAATTGATCTCCAAGAGGTAAATCTAATATTCTTTATTTATTATTCCATCGGTTATAACTAATGGAGCAACATTCCCGTCAGTCCCCGTAAGTGAGTACAGTAGGACATAATATCTAGCGAGCACATTACAAATGTAATTGATAGTGTGCCCAATCATATCCAGAGTGTGATAAATGCTAAGGCCCTTTGCACACCTTTAAACAAATTATGAACCTAAAAAATTGGAACCGTGCAAATGTGAATACTTTGACTTTTTGTTAACAAAAAATCTAAACTTTTTAGAAATCCGGTATCTTTTAGTTGTAATTAGTATTTTAATTCATTGTCAAATAACTAAAGAATATACTAACAAAAAAATCATAAGGATTCAATAATTTTTACAGATTTTAAACTGTAAAGTGATGATCATGTAACCACAAATGCTCGCTACTGTATGTAACCTTGGATTGATACATACATAATATTTATGTATGCATATAAATACATATGTAGATATTTGTGTAACATTATGATTTTGTCTAATTTTGTATTTTACACCCCGCTCCACCAGAGGCGCACACAGTGCGAGGAAGAGTTTGCAAGCGAGAGATCAAAAAATACACAAAGCTGTTGGAAGGGGTAGTGGGAACCACTGGGGGGAAGCCACTACATTCTGTTATTCTGTCTATAATAATGATCCAATCTGAAATTAATCTGGATCGGATAGATATGGACATTCCCTATAGAACTTCGATTTTAATTTTCTCTTATCTTCAAAACTGGGTAGATGACTTTCGCCCTTTGTGGGAGCGCAAGAGGCGGGTTGAAATTTTGAAACAAAACTAATTCAGTGTGAATTTACATGAGTCTTCACACTAAATTTGGTGGATCTAGCTCTATAGTCTCTGAGAAACAGGCGTCACACAAGGCGTACAGACGGCCAGACCAAAGAAATGTTAGTACCGCTTTTCCAAATTGTGTATGCAGTCTGCCAATCTAATCTATTAAAGCTAACCATCTTATTATTACATTGTCTTTGATTTAAGCCGTCTATATCGATTAATAAACGACGTCGTTTGTTTCATGGGAGAAATAAAGACTTTAACAAAGAAAGAAAAAAAAGTGTACACAAGTTCTGGTTCAAAACAGCGCGGAACTGCTCAGCAAATCTGACGAAGCAAAAATATAGTTGATTGCTGCATTATAGTAGAGACAAAATATGGAAAAATAATGAAACCCTATCTTAATATATCAATTTAATTGACTCAGTTAATTTGTGTTAAAATTGTTTTTAACAGACTTATTTTCTGATTAATCATCTCTCAGCTTAGCGTATTACCTAATTCAAATAAATCATCATATTGAATCGTCATGAATTTTCTAAGCATTTGAGGACAAATATAGATTAGCGTAAAAATATAAATTTTCACACCGTACGTGCTTGCTTCAGAGTACTATTTTGTAAAGACCTTAACATGACCTTAGGGTTGGAACAAGACGATTTCATCTGGCTTTTGGCGACAAAGTCGCAAAAATACAATTATTCATCGCACATATACATACATATGTATGTAGATATGTACAGATGTTACTCACGTTTATGCATCCGAGACAATAAAGAAGAATCACAAATATGTTATGGGAGGAAAAGTACGGCACTGTTATTTCGAATAGGATTTCGGCTCAAGCGCAGCAAATTGGCCAAGGATGTATAAGGATCCTTTGAGCAGTGGGCGATGTTGAACCGTTTTGTCCAAGTGTGCATGTCTCGCCCAGATAGACAAAAGTCATGCCGAGCCCTGTGTTAATGACAAAAAAGGACTGCGCACTTCTGCAGTGTGGGCGAGAGCGATCCATACTTGGTGTTCGGGACATGTCACGGTACTTACTGTCGAAAAACCCGTTTGACATTTGACAATTATTCATTTTTCGTTTTATTTCTTAGAAATAAACCTATGTTGCATCGTACCAAATCGATTGGTTCCAAATCGTTGCAATTGAATTGGGAGCTGACTCTTTGGCCTTTTTTCTCTTGGCATCCTGTTACCATTTAGTTTCAGCTGTTAGACACGAACTATTTGGTGTTTTACGCTCTTTACACGGCAAACAAATTTACAACACGGAATGGGGAAAGTTTTGGTTACGCACATATCGGAGAGAATCAAAAGTACTCCTACGAAATGATACGGTGGAAATCGCAATTTGCACGTTTGTCCTAATTACCTTGGAACTTAATTGCTTAATTCGAGTATTCCTTACTGAAAGGAACTGGATTTCGATACATGTTGAGGGAGTATCGGTACGAAAACATGATCAAATTCTTCTAAGTAGCTGCTAATGCAATTTATATCAGATACATAGATACATATGTGTGTATGTCCTTATGAGTAAGGACATTTAAGGATATATGTACATATTTTTGTACATACATACATATCTAATTAAAGTAGCCAATTTTCTAGCATCTTGCCATTTTATCCGTGTTAATAATGATAAAGATATGATAATAAGATGATAATAATATCCAAAATCTAGAGTTTTGATTTCAATGTTGAAACACATCGCGCTGAATACTATGTATTAGCAGTTTTTTAAGAAAGAATAATGAACAACTCTTCTTTTTATCTGTTCAAATCGACGTCATAAAGCATTGCCAAATCCTTATTTCCTTTAGAATTAAATGACAATTTTGGTTTTAATGAACTTGCAATTTTTAAAACTTTAAATTTATAAAATTCCCTTCCCACTGATAGTTATTTTGATTCGTTTCAAGGTACCATGAGACATATAAACATTTGTCTCAAAGTAGTTCCAACCAAAGGAGCATTTACAACTAGTGGGACTTGCACTGACGATGCTCTCAGTAATATTAATTAATTAAAAGTAGTTTTTCTCTATAGATTACTACATGCCGGAAAATCCATTACGATGCAATAGATCAGGTAAACTGTACTCACCTACCTGGCAGAGGGGCCCGATATCAGACCTAACAATGCAGAAGTGATGACGCATTCCACCATCCCTCGTGCTGCGCAGGTAGAGGGTGAGTCACCATCGGGTATAAAAGCATTCCCGGCCAGACCCAAACTATCATTCGAACTACGGTTATCAGTCTGTGCAGATCATAGGCACCAAGTCATCTCTCAACTGGAAAATGTTTACCGAAGCAGATCAGAGTTCCAACTTCCGGACTGCTGTCCCGGTGAAGAGCTCTCTCACTGGCGCCGCCACCAACATGAAGAAGCTCCTGAAGACCATCAGGAGAATCTTCACCCAGTCGAAAGCGGGCAAGGACCTAAGAAAGATCCGCCACACATGCCACAGCGAAGAGGAGCATCAAAACTGGCTCAACGAGCAACTGGAGTGCAGCAAAATCTCTCTCCACTGAGGCAAGATTGGGGTTACCTCTGAAAATCTGTGATGAGACTTGCTTGCATGGTCGATAAATGTGCACGCTGGCTTTAAACTCCAACTGTGATAAATAGAGCACAAGACTGACCTGCTTCTGTGCCTTTTTCACTGTACATGCTGCACTAAACACATTTACTTACATACATACATATGGATGTGTAAAATATAGATGTACGTCTTCAAATGCTTTAACCTTACTTAAGTAATAGCTATAATCATTGTCTTCCACTAGGTTTAGGATAATTGTCTTCCATGTTTGTTTGTTTAGGGTTCAAAATTAGGCCTAAGAATAAAAATTCCCTCGAGGAAAAAAAAATCATCTGGTTATATATATTTCTTCACAAAATAAATAACTTTAATACGCGGTACTCAGTCACTCGTTTACCCGTTTACACGTTTACAGTACATGTTTACTTTTATACAAGTGTATTTCTAAATTTAACCCAGCCACCTTCCGCCCGCTCAAATGGCGAAAATCTCCCACAGCCACAATTTTAAAGATAAGTGAAAAGTAAAAACGCATCCGAGTTAAGATCGGCTCAGATCATTATTATAACCAGCTCTTATGATCTCTGAGAACGAGTCATCAAACAAGACGGAAGCACAGCAGAACGACGGACAGACAGACATGGCTATATCGACCGAGACATTGATGCTGATCAAGAATATATACTTATGGCGTCGGAGACGTCTCCTTCTGTGGGTTACATACATCCACTTTGTGCACGAATACAATTAGGGTATATTGTATTCGTGCACAAAGTGCACTCTTCGAGTACCGGGTATTCGAGTACCGGGTATAAGCATCTGGCCCAATCTGGTCCCTCAAAATAAATTTGTCAATAAAATTGACCATTTCGAGTAGCAAACTATCATATTTAGCGATGAGACCAAATTGAATTTAGATGGGTTAAATCAGTATTACTATAGAAAAAAGGGCTCCAAAACAGGTGAAAATGTCTCGAAATTTCCAAGAAGGTTCACTTGTAGTGGGGCCTGTATTTGGATTTGCTGGAATGTGTTTAATATGTTTTGTTACTCACAAAATAAGCTCAGAAAAATGTGCTCAACTATTGGAAGAAGATCTTATTGATTTGGAGGAACGCAGTATGGAGATTCCTGGACATTTCAACAGGATAGTGACTTGATTCATGTGTTTATGTACACCAAACAATTTTGTGCAGAGAGATAAAAGTGAAAAGACCAGATTTTAACCCAATCGAAAACCTTTGGTGCATACTATTTATCAAAGTGCACAGGCATGGAAGACAATTTACCACATTTAAAGAGTTAAAAGAGGATATTGCTTACTTCTAAAATAAACATATTTAATGACAGGACGCAAAGTAGCAAAGAAGGACATATGTATGCAATTTAATACAATTTACGAATTTTAAATTTAAGTTAATTTAACAATATATAGTTCTTATGAAATTATAAGTTCACTTGTTTTTTTGAGCAAAGAGTAAGTCGATAAAACTTGAACACACTCAAATCATTGTGGATATGCATGGGTAATCCTTTAAGATGAATACTCTAATATTTCCGGCTGCCTCATAGTTTCCGCAAGTGAATAATTTTTTGTATTAAATCATTATTAAATTTTTTACTCTTAGAGTAAACTCTTATAAAAAGAAACTAAAAATTCAAATTTTTAAACGGTTGTATGTTTTCGCGAAGATCACTATACATTCAGAGTTCAGGAAAAGTTCAGGAACTCGTAATTTAAGCGACTGTCGCACTGGACATAAATTAATATGTAAATAACCATTTTTCTCAACATTTTTAAAATAGTTTATGTTATGTCTATGCATGTACTTATTACATATGTATGTACACATGTATGTTATATGAGATAATTGTAAAAGAAAACATGACTATACATAAAGTTAACTTTTGCTTCGTGGAATTGGGTTTCACATCAGAGTTATTGCAATTATATGTCACAATGTAAATTAATATCCTTTCAATAAGTCTGGATAATAATATTGCGACTTCTGCTCTCGGTGGCCCTGCCAGAAATGTATGTAAGTAAAGTTAAGTTAAGTTATGTAATTTACCAAGTCTGTCTAGCATGACTTCTAATTCATTTTAAATAAACCAACTAAACATTCGAAGTTACATTATTTTCATCTATCAGGGCCATTAAGGAACGAATTGATTTGTAAGTTAATGCGGGAGGGAGATATCTCTCAGTTTTGTTCGGTGGAACAATATGGAGTTAAGGAGAGGAGCCCCAACCGCTGGTTATATGTTAATGTTAATTCAATTACTTGGTTTGTCTCCACCAAAGCCCTATTTGATTTTAATCTTAAGTACATGGTATGTTTTATGATTCTTTTTTTCGGTTTTTGAGTGACTTTAAACTTCAGATATCACAGGAGTTAGGGTAAAACTAAAAACTACGAGTACCAGGTATCTGAATTGGAAATTCACGGTTGAATGCATGAACGGGACTTTCCCAGTTGGAATATTATTTAATTCTATGTTTATCGTTTGTAATGAGCTGCGCCACCTGTCGGCTATGTATAAACGCTGGCGCTGCCATATGGTTGAAAAAATATGAAAACACTGATAGTTCGGCCGTTGGCTTTTGTTTTTTTTTTTCAAACTGTTTATTTATTTTAACGCTTATGATAAAAGTTGCTGTAACAATACACATAAGTATATATGTATGTATGTATGCATGTACATATGTATGTATAAGTTGGAAGTGCACTATTTTGTTTGAATTAGCCGTATGGTTGGGTGTGTTTGTGGTGAGGTGCATGTCTGTCTGTCACTTACTGTCTGGTTATGTTGTTACTGCATTTTCAGTTGTGTGGGGAAGGTGAAGGAACCACCGACACACCGAGTTACATATAGACGTTTTGGAAGATGAAGTATTGTTTGTCAGGCTTTGACTGCGGCTCTTTGCTTCGTAAAGTTATATTTGTAGTATCCTCCAGTGGCATTTATAGTTAGATTCAGTTGTTTAATCAAATAGGGAAGGCAAAGACAATTGCAGATGGCAAGACCAACGGAAGATTCTCGGAGTGGAAGCCGGGTTTGTGCACGGATTGCTCGTGATTTTTCTCTCTCTTAAAAATGTCTCGGAAATGTTCAATCTCGCTCGTATTAATGTGCAATTATCTAATATTAATATTTCGTTCATCTAAAACCAAAATGGGATGCTAGCCAATTGTTGTTTGTTGAAATCTATAGCAAGCATAACACTGTCCAGAATCGATCCATTTGGAATGGAGTTACTGATAGTCGACAGAGTCACTGTCCAGCAATGTGGAGGAGACCCTCGATGTGCGGCGATTCCAGTAATCCGTGTAGCACGACTCATACTGGGCAGTGGTGCGCCACGGTGGCCATTTCAGCTATTCCTCGACAATGTCCCACACCATGAGCGAAGCGTCTGTGCCGCCCACAGTGATGAGGGTGTGATCCCCACACAGGAAGCGGGCGCAGGCTAGCATGCCAGAGTAAACCTTGGACTCATGGAATTCGGCGCGCGGTGAAATGCAAGGATACCTGTGGAACCGCATCGGATTAGCTAATTACATCATGGGCATTCCACCACATTCGACCGCATTCCCATTCCCATTCCCATCCTATCGCCACAGCTCACCTGAACAAACGCAAATATCCCTCGGCATCGCCAGAGGCGAGCATATCGTGTGCGGCCGAGCGACTGCAGGTAGCTACAATAGTGTTGGTGCTACTGTAGTAGCGATTGCTCCACTGGCCGGCCACCAGGAAGCCCACAGTGCAATTGTTGGTTAGCCACTTGACATCTTTCATGGCAATGGGACTTCGCTCCGGCGACAGCGACTTGGCGTCCCAGAACAGCAGATCGAAGTCAATGGTCACCGTCTGCACAAAGTTGCCATCCATGCTCCAGTCCAGGTGAGTCAGGGGCTGAGAGCCGCGTATCTTATTGACCTTCTTATAGGAAAAGCCGTCGCGCGAGACGCGGAAGAGGTAAATACTGCCATTCTGTGAACCCATGGCAATCATGTCCCCAACTAAAAGTCAGAGATTGAAGAAAGAGTTGAATCGAGTCATATGGTACGTGCTTAAGGTATTCGAGCCTACCCTGATTATAGGCGACACAGTTGAGGGGCGAACCACAGACGCGAAGCGTCAACATCACCGCTCCGTTCTCGCAGTTGATTACCAGCAAATGGCCCTCAGTGCTGCCAGCAGCAAGAGTGCCAAATGGATGGAAGGCCAACGCCACACACTCATATCCCGTCTGAATGGTCCAGATCAGTTTATTTTTGCGCCACAGAGCCACATGCTTGTCGTGGCCAGCCGTCGCATAAAGCTCGTCATCCGGATGCGCGGCCAGACCCCAAAGCTGCCTGCCATGTCCAAAGACCACCTGCGTGAATCGGCGCTGCAGCGAGCCCTCGAGGATGTTGTTGCGGGTTGTACCTACATAGATGTTTCCATCGTTTCGCCCAGGGCGCTGGGGGTATATTGTTCGCACGCCGCCAGCTGCTTCGGGAAGCTGTCAATTCAAGAGAATAAGTGAAACAAAGCTCTCTTAGAAGTGGAAAGTACCTAGTGTACCTTAGTGTCGGCTATCTTTTTGTAGTTCTGCAGTGAGTCCCAAGCGGCTATCTTGCGGTCCTTTTCCCCGCCCGATAGCAGCGTTCCCTCTCCGAGCATGATCAGACAGCCGATGCCCTTGTTGTGAGCTTCGAACTCAGTGCGGACGAAGTACGCGCCATCGGAGTCTACAGAGTAGATGGTGATGAAGCCATCCGAGTCGGCCGTTATGACATCGCCATCCGGCTCGAATTGAACGCTCGTTACATGCGAACGCGATGGTTGCTTGACAATGTCCGTGCGCTCGAAGAATCCATCTTTGCGCCGATGCCAAAAGGCCAGGTGGCCTCTCCCGTGTGTGATGATCAGATTGTCATCAAGGGGATGAAACGCGGCTCCCGACAGGCCCTCCTGTAGTGTCTGCAATTGCCAAGTGGAGCGGCCCAGGGATTGATTAGTCTAGAACGTCGCTTCATAAGAAAGTTTGGGCGTTTGACTTACGGCCACTTTGCCCAGCAGGTGACCCCATTGCCATTGCCAAACGGACAGGATGCTCTCACGGCCGCTGTCCACGGCGAGGATGTAGCTGCCTCCGTTCTGGAATGGAAAGTATAGGGTTATTTTAGCCAAAGTATTTTCCATGTCTACATTTTACCAGCTGCGAGAATGCCACGGCAGTGACGCCACTGTCTAGTTCGCCCATGCCAAAGACGTAGAGTGTTTGCAGGGACTCTGTGCTCCAGATTCGGACATGTGCCTGCGACTTGCGATCCCGTCCAGCTTTTTGGCCCGAGGCCACCAGCTCCCTGGAGGGATGTACATCCATACTGGAAAATATATATGAAAATCTTTAGACTGTAGAACCACAGTAGGGTCAATAGACACTTTACCACATAATATCTTCAGTATGACCTGTGTAATGACGCTGGGCATCCTCATCACGATCAAATAGCACGGCCACAGCGGCCACGTAATAGAGTAGTTCTCCGGACGGCAAAACCCAAAGATTCCGGCGAGCATCGATGCCCCGATAGCCATGGCTGAAATAAGTTACTTGATAGGTACAGACGGTACAGTGAATACTCCCAGCTTACACCCATTGGAGTTGTAACTTTTTGTCCGGCGGCGAATTGTCGGCCGACGCATGGTGAACGGGCGGATAGAAGGTGCGCCTCAAGCCCCTGATCGTAACCTTTGTGGGCTCCTCCTTCATGATGTCCAGCATGGTGTACTCCCCATTCGGGCGCAAGATCTCACTTTCCGGCGCATAAAGTATGCGCGGCCGGCTCTTGCTCCTTGGCCTTGCCCCACGCAACGGCACCTTGGGCATCTCGTCCGTAGGCAGTATGGGTGCGGCGGCCACAACCGAGGGTCTCGACCGCGACCGTCTGATAGGTGAGCCGGCAATAAGAGCAGTACCCGTGGCCAGGTAGAAGGTGTCCACGTCGGCGAACTCGTTCCGCAGCTGGGAGAAACTGCGAACCTGCGTGTGAGCGAGTTAAAGGTCAGAAAACAATTTGTCAACTCATTTTGTAAGTTCGGGTAAGGCTTTAAATCTGTGTCTGGGTCTGGGTCGGGAGGGTCTTCATTAAGTTATTAGGCCGCGTCAAGGTCGATGTAGCCGTTTCTTACCTCCTGGCCAGTGCCTGTGTACATTTTTTTTGCTCCGTTAATTTTTAGCACTTGACCCAAATCCTCGAGCACTTCCTCGAATGGCTGCGAGGTGCGTAGGTTTAACAAAACGCGACACTGTAAGGGTAGAGAGCGAGAGGGTGGTAAGTGGTAGCTCGCAAGTGTGACTTTGCATCTGGATGTGTACATAAAATTACGTGTTAAACATGGTCTAGTAATTAGTTTGTATACACACACACATATTTATGTATGTACTTACATACATATGTAGATATATACATAGACCATATATATATATATACATATGTACATGTGAATGTGTGTAGTGAGGAAGTGACTTGACCTGTGATCAAAAATGTAGTCACGGCACGCAACTTCCGCTTGGGTCCTGCCTCGGATCCTACCAACCCTAAGACCCACTAATATTTATAATTGTAAGCTGTCGTCGACTCTTTCCCCAGAGCACTTGAGTTTTAATGACCTCCAGAGCCCTGATATCAGCAATTCACGCGTGCTGAAGAAGAATCTGTCTTGGTGCCTCTTCTGCCATCACCCCCATCTCAGCCGTCTCCGCAGAAACCACCACACGGCTATCCCATTAAATTTAAGCAGCGGCCAGACCACGGAGATGGGTGATACCACAGTTTGTCCAACTCCCCACGTCGCGCCGGCGACAATTGGGCGAGTGAGCACACGATAAACTTTCGCCGTCTCTGAGCAAACTCGTTTAAATATATGAATTTAGTTGGGCTTCGAAAAAGGCGTCGACTTAATGGTTTTATGTCCGTGTTGAGCGGTTTTCCCCGAGCATCACTACTTCTTATTTTTAAGGCCAGATCCGACTAATTGCACTACTCGACAAAATCGCATATTAAAGAACCAACCCGACTTTTTATACCAGGTACTCGAAGAGTAACTGGGTGGTTATATTGTATTTGTGCACAAAGTGGATGTACATACATATGTAACGCACAGAATAAAACGTTTCCGACCCCTTAAAGCCATGTCTGTATATCCGTCCGTCTTGTTTGTCGGCTAGTTCTCAGGGACTATAAGAGCTAGAGGCACCAAATTTTGCCTCCAGACTGCTGTATGCTCACACTGAATCCAGTGTATTTCAAAAATTAGCCCCGCCCCCGCAAAGAGCAAAAACCTCCCAAACCTACAATTTTGAAGATAACAGAAAACTAAAAATTCCGTTCCGTAGGGAAGGACTATATCTATCAGAACACCGAATTGGGATCAGATAGGATCATTATTATAGCCATTACCATTAATGGTAAATAATTTTGAAAGTCCGTCCTATTTTGACCCTTCTATTGCTTGCAATGCATACAAACGTCCTGTTCAAAGTCAAAAACTGCCCATGTTTATTTAGTCCAAGGCAAACAAATGTTTTTTATCGTTTTTTTTTTTATGTTTTGATATATTGGCTTTTATTTTTTGTTGTTTCACTCGCTACGGTTTTAGTATTTTGATTTACAGGGCATGTCCTTTATGGGTCGTTAGGTTAACTGGCTCAGGTGTCATCCTAACCGGACGAGACCTTAACGATTGCTTGAAACGGCCACCGTTCGCCTGTATTTAAAGCAGTATATTGATGGGTTATCAAATCAGTACACCTGCGGCACATTGTTTGAAGCTAAAAAGCTAACGGAATGGTTGGCGCAACCATAAAGTGAATAAGTGAGGAATAATCTTTCATACTATATTTCAACTGAGTACTTGAACTAAGAATAATACAATACACAATAACAAGTCTATTTTAGTTCGTTGAGCACATTTGATCAGTCGAAAATCCTTTTCTTTTGCATAGAGAAACTTTTCCTTTACAGCCCAAATCGAGTGTCACTTAATTTGCCGGAAAATGAATTGAAGGGACAGAAGCTGAAAGATGCTTTCAATAATTTTGTGCAATGCCACTTTGGTCCAATAGGCAGACGGTCCATGTCTATAACATTAATTATGTATGAATATATCTCAGTCTCTCCCCTTGTGCGTGGGTGGTGGGTGCGATTGTGTGTGTGGGTACCCAGATATGCATACAGACATACAAACAAGAGGCCTTGGCATTGACTACTCGTATAAACAAATATAATTATGTGAGCAAATAATTGCATTACCGAGAACGTTGCCAGCTGCGATCACGTGACCCCAAACAAATGGCGTTTGTTAAGCGAATTACGTGCACTTTTCGTATGGGGGCTCAGGCTCGGCTTTCCCCATTCAGGTACTGCGTGTGGGGGTGACAATTGAGAGGGATGGAGCAGGAAGAAACGGCAAACAACTGCCGGAAGGAACCAGGCATCGACGTGGACACAGGACCTTCATCTGGCTGTGCATTCGATGTCCTGTGTGTGATTGAAATTTTTAGCATTTCACTTCTCTACTTCCCCTTCCATACCCCTTCCCATCCTTTAAAGGGGGTATTCCTGAAATTCAATCGATGGGCCGTTGCATGGCTGATTTAATCTTGGTGACGTCCAAACCACTTGACATTTTTCAAATACTTTCGTTTGCTTGCTCCACCCCGATACAAAGGAATTCCAATAAAACACAAACATGCAAAAAACAAAAGTAGAAGCGACAGCTTTGTAGTCCTTATTGCCGCTATCGGCCACGTCCGTAGAGTTGCATAAAGGGACCAAATCTTTTTAAATTAAAATTAGGGTCAAATACACAAGTTCTCACAGCGATTGTGGTTAGATCGGTTCTAAGAAGTATTTACGCCGAAAATGTAGTTGGAAACAGTTGGCCAGTTCCCGTCATGTATTATCTACAGCCAAATTTTCAACGATGCAAATACGTACATACAAAAGTATGTATGTACATATGTATGTTCATATGCATCAGGGTTATCCATAAAATCTTCCGCTATCTACGAAATACTTTAGTTCGTTTTTTTGTTTATCTCTAACTCTTGGTCTACTTATCAGTGTGGCCGAAATCCAAGGTTGTTGCAAAATGACATATCTGTATTGTATTATTGTTTGTTTTCATTGAAATGGGAATAGGATTAGAGAATGTCTTCCGTTGTTCACTCCTCCTTTTTGATTTGTGTACACCCCTGTGGCTACTCTTTATGAAAAGAAATGCTTGTATCTACATACCTATGCACTATGTGGTATTTCACCACTTTTTGTGGCATTAATTAATAACTTCCAAACGAAACAATATTTTTTGATTTAGTTTTTTGATATGAGTCTATAATTTGTTGAAAAATTGGCCGGCACGCTATTTCTTCAGGGTAAAATCGAATTTTTATGTTATTTTTCAATTGAATTAAACAAAAAATTATGGGAATATGTAAAGCAATGCCATATTTTACTTAAAAAGTTGTTCCCGGATTTTTGAAAATGGAAAAGAAGAAGATAATCGAGTTTTTACATTGACTTCCTTGTATACTGCAAGCAGCGTCTATTCTTTGAGTTGTTGAATGTGGGACACAATAGCACTGCACGGCAGTGCAGAGATACTGGAAATGTCTCAACGTTATTATAATTGTACAATTGAGCACGAATTTAGCCAATCGGCACATTTTTTTTTCGATTTGTTTCAAGTTTTCCGTGAAAATGTTCAATTAAATCGACAAACTGTAAAAAAAAGTTCTTCAGGTATTAACACTTAAATTCAATGCAGATCGGCATCTTCTTCTGCAATTTTCTTCTTCACTCAGTTTAACATGTTATGTTACGAAAACTCAAAAATCTGCGAAGACGCAGAAAAGCGCAAGAAAAAATAACATAAATTGGATTAAGAATTGAATACTCTACCATATCTATGCAGTTTAATGCTTCCGGCGGGAACCGAACACTTTCTAAGTCTATTCAGAGACAAATTTTCATCACAAATATGGACTTGTTCAAAAACTAGCCATTAAACAATTTATGAGGTACATTTTTTAATTTCAAACTCACAAACACCTTTTTATACCTACCTGAACCGAGAATATTGTAAAAAATTAACTTAAATTGGTAAATGTAGCAATTTTTGCACTCTAAACTTCATGAACAAAATCAGTTTTCCGGTAACTTTCTATCGTTCGTAGCAAACAGCTGACTTTACCAGCTTTTATTTTAACAGGGGTGCGCACTGTTAATTTTTTGGGTACGTAACATTACGGACTGATGTTATACCTATGTATATCTGTTTTTTACTTTGTTGAGTTTGAGGCCAGGAAAAGTGGTGAAATGCCCCATAGTGCAATGTATTTAAATACATATCCTGAAATGCGTACAAACGAATGTATAAACTAAGAGTCAACCCAAAAAACAAAGGCAAAAGCTAAATACAATGTGACACGTTGCACTTCATGTGGCACATGATGTGGCACATCATGCCATTCTGCATACCCATTTATTGTGCTTTGCAATTGCATTACCCGTGCAAGCATCAGCCTCATCAGAAGCAGAGGCACTTGCTGTGGGTATTGATATATGTAGAGGAAGTCGCTCAAAACAGGCGCCCAGACGCAAGCAAACCCAACAGACACAAACACAAATAGAGAACACAAATTATAATTGTTTTTCGACTTTTCCCGAGTTTTTTAAGTCAAAATGTAGTAAAATTACCTTACAAAAATCAACATTTTTGCACTTTAAAGCTTAATATTTCCCAGACGTTACGCTTAAACACACAAAAAGCTTTGGTTTAAGATACTTAAGTTATTTGAGAAAACAAACAGCTACCTCTGAAAAAAAGCTTAAAAATATACTAGATTTTTTTTTGCTATTTAATCGCTACAGCGAAATTTGTTGGTCGCAAAAAATGGATCCGTATTGACTTATGTTGACTATTAAAAAAAAAATTGCTAAAAATTGTAAAAAAAAATTCCTAAGTTCTAAGCCCCATATTTTTCATAAAATGTGGGTTTCCTTGACGAAAACTCTTGTTTGCTTGGGCTGAATGCCTGGGCTCTGAATTGTAAGTGCTTGTACATACATATGTATGTCATACATATAATGTCTTTGGCACTTTTTAGTAAGGCTTGCTGGGCAAGAATGGGGACGAATCTGTAAACATACTTTCAGATATTTAGTGCCTGAAATATGTCCATGTAAGAGCCTATTTAACCACAACTTTGTGAGTTATCTTATCTATCAGTTTCGTTGCTTATGTAAATATTCATATAACCATAAACCAATTTAATGATTTCTCTCTACACAATATATTCTCCAAGTACCTGTAATGGAATCGACTTCAGCATTTCTTGTCTATGTACTTACATACATATGTATGTACGTACATATATTTTTAACCAGGCCTTCCTCCTTTGGCCCAACCGACAACGACAGCGACGATGGCATGTCCTTGGCCTTGGTCATTGAGCGCATGCACTACTCGGTTCGGTTCAACAAAAAAAGCAGAAACTACTAAAGTTTCCTCATTTTCAGTTGTTGTCGGTTGTACTTTGGTCAAATTTGAATTGCAAACTCTGTTAAGTAAGTCCTGCAAGCGGAGAGCGGAGAGCGGAGGTCTGACCAGCTAGCTTTTGTTGTTGGCTATTTTTCCATTGTCTGCTATTGTCTCGCCCATTAATGGGATTCGATTTGGGTCTGGAAAACCACTATCCAGCAGACGGAATCTGGCGCAGAGAAATCGTCGGCCAAGGTTGAAAGGACCCTTGATCACACCCACGTGCCGAAAGGTGTCGAAACGCCCACAATGTAATGTATTTTGATTCATAAAACAGCACGAAGCCCCGTATCCCGTATGAGAAAAAAGGCTACAAAAATTGTACTTGCATTTAGGAAAATTACCATAAATCGTTACTACGACAACCGCTTTGAAATAGGGGATTGGCAAAGCCAATTCATAATTTAAAGGTATTTTCGTAATAATAACATAAATTGCGAGACTGCTAGAGCAAAAGGAAAAGAGTTGTGGGGCAGGTATCATATTTGCGGGAGTTTTCAAAGACCGGAGTCTAGTTTTTCGTCTGCTTTCTTGTTTTTGTGGGGGTATGTCAGCGGAAATTACCAAATTGACCGTGGCTTCAATTTAGTTGCCGTTCGCCAATTCTCCTGTTTATCCGACCACCGGCCTGCATACCGGTACAATAAAACACAAATTGCAGACAATTGATTTTCCATATGATTGCTGCAGGGTACACGAAAGCTGGTAAAGGTTAATTGCACCCTTCTTTCGGACTCCCACCGTAGTTTTCAGCATTTTTTGAATGTCAAAGTGAATGGGTTTTGATTGACTGTCATGAAAGCTTAATCCCTACACTTGTACAGGCAACGATTTAATACAAAATGTAAATTAAATAATAATAAACGAGAAGGGACATCTGAGACGCTTCTGAGGCGTCACAACTTATATACCCAGCACTCAGTACTACATCTGTACCTAGCGGTACATAGCGGTTTTTTTTTCAAATTTTCCATTTTTTCTTCATCTGTCATCTACATCTACATCACTTCTCACGACAACACGCTCCTTTAGCTCGCCCCCCTCCCACTGCTGGACGCGGTGGGTTTAGCCACTGCAAATGAATTTCCTTATTCTGGCTGTAATAATGATCCTATCTGATCCCAATTCAGTGATCTGATAGATATGGTCGTTCCCTACGAAGGGCGTTTTTTAGTTTTCTTTTATCTTCAAAATTGTGGAAACGGGAGATTTTCGCCCTTTGTGGGGCGGAATACACTTAAATACACTTGTACATAACAGTGTGAGCATACAGAAGCCTGGATGCAAAACTTGGTTGCCCTATCTCTTATGGTCTCGGAGTACTAGTCGCTCATAAG